CCCCCCCCCCCCCCCCGTCTGACACCTTTTCCACTTCTCTTTTTCCAGTAACTGTGACGGTAGGAGGGAAACAACACTTGCTTGGACTTTACGACACTGCTGGGCAGGTAATGCATATTCAATTGATTTGTATTTAACCTTGGTTTGGTTTCTATTTCTGCAAACCCTCGTTTGATCTCCTGCATCCAAAATTATGGCTCCTGTTTCCTTGTCTCCCTTGAATGCATCAGTGTTTCCTTTTGGGGGTCAGTTTGGTGCGGTGGTTAAGTGCGCGGACTCTAATATGGGAGAACCGGGTTTGATTCCCCACTCCTCCACTTGCACCTGCTGGATGACCTTGGGCAAGCCATAGTTCTGATAAGAGCTGTCCTTGAAAAAGAGCAGTTTCTGACAGAGCTCTCTCAGCCCCACCTCCCTCACAGGGTGTCTGTTGTGGGGAGGGGAAGGGAAAGGAGTTTGTAAGCCACTCTGAGACACCTCTGGGTAGTGAAGGGCGGGGTATAAATCCAATCTCTTCTTCTTCTTCTTCAATAAAAAAGGTACAAGGATTGTGATACGGGTGCTGCCCCAGAAGAATTTCTGCCATAAAAGAGGAGCGGGCTACTACAGAAGCAATTCTCTTTTTCTCCACCTCCTGTGTCTCAGATGAGACATATTAGGGAACAGTGGCTCAGTGGCAGAGCATCTGCTTGGCATGCTGAAGGTCCCAGGTTCAATCCCCGGCATCTCCAGTTAAAAGGGTCGGGTAACAGGTGATGAGAAAGACCTCTAGCTGGGATCCTGGAGACCCTCTGCCAGTCTGATGGACCAAGGGTCTGATTCAGTATAAGGCAGCCGGGAAGGGATTGTCACTCAGTGATAGAGCATCTGCTTGGCTTGCCAAAGGTCCCAGGTTCAATCCCCGGCATCTCCAGTTAAAAGGATCAGGTACTGGGTGAACCCTGACTGTTCCCTGGAAGGCCAGATACTAAAGCTGAAGCTCAAATACTTTGGCCACCCAATGAGAAGGGAGCACTCACTGGAGAAGACCCTGATGCTGGGAAAGATTGAAGGTCAAAGAAGACAGGGACGGCAAAGAATGAGATGGCTACACAGTGTTATCAATGCAGTGAACCTCTGCTTGGCGTGCCAAAGGTCCCAGGTTCAATCCCCGGCGTCTCCAGTTAAAAGGATCAGGTAGGAGGTGATGTGGAAAAACCCTGGAGAGACGCTGCCTATCTAAGTGAACAGTACTGACCTTGATGGACCAGTGGTCTGGTTCTGCATAAGGCAGCTTCCTGTGCTCGTGGGCATTCTCACAAGGACACATACCCCTGGGGGTACACAGATTCCACGTGTCACGGCAATTCAAAGGGGCTGCCTCCAGGTAGTCTATTGACTTAATAGCCCACGTTTCCATGTTGGTTCTGACATTCTGAACGGCGCCCCGGGCTTCCCCTTTCAAACCAGGAAAAGTCCTGGATATCTGAACGAGGTAGGCTGGACGGAGGAGTTCCAATCTTATCCAAATATCTACTGCCACCTGGTGGTGATTCTAAGAGCTCTATTTGGCAGTCCAGTGACGCTGGAAGAAGGAAAGGTAAAGGTAAAGGTTCCCTTGCTCGAAAGCCAGTCGAGTCCGACTCTAGGGTTGCGGTGCTCATCTCCGTTTCAAAGCCGAAGAGCCAGCGCTGTCCGAAGACGTTTCCGTGGTCATGTGGCCGGCATGACTAAACACCGAGGCGCACGGAACGCTGTGACCTTCCTACCGAAGCGGTACCTATTTATCTACTTGCAATTTCTTGCTTTCGAACTGCTAGGTTGGCAGGAAGAAGGAAGGCAGGGTGTTAAAACCACATCTCATCGGATCTAGGAAGCTAAGCAAGGTCGGTACTGGGAAGAGAGACCTCCAAAGGAGACTCTGCAGAGGAAGGCCATGGCCAACCACCTCTGCTTCTCACTTGCCTTAATAGCCCCTTGCTGGGGTTAGAATCATAGAATCACAGAGTCGGAAGGGGCAAGACAAAACCATCCAGTCCAGCCCCCTGCCCAATGCAGGACCAGCCTAAAGCATCTCTGACAAATATTCGCCCAATCTCTTCTTGAAAGCTGTCAGTTGCCATAGGACAGCTGCAACTTGACAGCACTTTACTCACACAGACAAAAGGAGGAAGAGACAGGGAAGGTACATCTAATAAATTTATTTTATTTTAAATTTTATTTTATTGGACTTGTATCCGGCCCTCCACACCAGAAAGCTCAGGGCAGGTTCCATCAGTATCAATACAATAGGTAAAGGTAAAGGTTTCCCTTGCTTGAAAGTCAGTCAAATCTGACTCTAGGGATGCAGTACTCATCTCTGTTTCCAAGCCGAAGAGCCAGCGCTGTCCGAAGACGTTTCCATGGTCATGTGGCCGGCATGACTAAACACCGAGGTACACAGAACGCTGTTACCTTCCCACCAAAGTGGTACCTATTTATCTACTTGCAATTTCTTGCTTTCGAACTGCTCGGTTGGCAGGAGCTGGGGCCAGAGACGGGAGCTCACTCCGTCATGCGGCACACTCGGGTCTCGAACTGCTGAACTACCGACCTTCCAGACTGCAGTTCAGCGTCTTAACCACATGAGCCACCGCACAGTACAATACATAATACAATTAAAAACAACTTTAAAACAACAAATGAAAGCAACACGGATCATAAAACACCGTTCAAATTTGGTCAGCGTTCCGTGCACCTTGGTGTTTAGTCACGCCGGCCACATGACCACGGAAGCGTCTTCGGACAGCGCTGGCTCTTCGGCTTTGAAACGGAGATGAGCACCGCAACCCTAGAGTCGGATTCGACTGGCTTTCGAGCAAGGGAACCTTTAAGGTTGGGATACATTCTGTCAGTCTTTAAAGTGCAACTGGACTCCAGATTTGCCTAAGCCTATGAATATTGTGGCGCGGATCCCCCGAATGAGTTCCATGCATGCCTCTGTCATGAAACGCACTTTCCTTTGTGCAAGATCCATTTGTGCAAGATCCGATGGTTCTCAATAGGCTGCGTGGTGGTCTTAGGATCACAAGGCTGGGTGGGGATTTGAACCCAAGTCTTAGTCCTGGACACGAACTACAACAACACACTGGTGCGCATTGGTATCCATCAGGTTCATAATTAACATTATTGATACCCAGCTTTCTCCAGAATGGGGGTCCAAAGTGGCTCACATCATTTCCCTCTCTTCCATTTATCTTAACTACAACAGCCTTGTGAGGTAGGCTAGGCTGAGGATTTGTGATTGGCCCAAGGTCACCCAGCTTCCCTGGCAGAGTGGGGCTTCGATCCTGGATCTCCCAAATCCTAGAACAACACTCTAAGCACTATACCACACTGAGGTCCTGGTCACACTGGCTGGATAACGCGGGGGGAGGCGTGGCTATTAGCGCTGTCGCAATTTGACGCACCCCAACGCGATCAGATGCGACGGCGTTATTTCCTTGGGCGGTTGCTTGCAGCACACTCCAACCAGGGAGCAGGGACTCGAGAGGAGCACGCTGGAGCGATCAGACGGAGAGCGTCTGTCTGTAGCCCATTGCAACCATTTAATACTAGAGTTTCACAGGTACTTTTAAAGTCCACATCTTCGGCCTTTATAGCTAGCGGCGCGTGGCTATTAGCGCCGTCGCAATTTGACGCACCCCAACGCACTCAGATGCGACGGCGTTATTTCCTTGGGTGGTTGTTTCCAGCACGCTCTAACCAGGAAGCAGGGACTCGAGAGGAGCACGCTGGGGCGATCAGATGGAGAGCGTCTGTCTGCAGCCCGTCACAACCATTTAATACTAGAGTTCCACAGGTACTTTTATAGTCCGCATCTTCGGCCTTTATAGCTAGCAGCTATAAGCATAGACAGCTTCAAGAGGGGTTTGGATGAACAGAGCCAGTTTGGTGTAGTGGTTAAGTGCGCAGACTCTAATCTGGGAGAACCGGGTTTGATTCCCCACTCCTCCACTTGCAGCTGCTGGATGACCTTGGGCAAGCCATAGTTCTGTCAGAGCTGTTCTTGAAAAAGAGCAGTCTCTGTCGGAGCTCTCTCAGCCCCACCCACCTCACAGGGAAAGGAGTTTGTAAGCCTCTCTGAGACTCCTTTGGGTAGTGAAGGGCGGGGTATAAATCCAATTCCTTCTTCTTCTTCTATGGAGCAGAGGTCCATTAGCCACAAGGTATAGATGGAACACTCTGTCTGGGGCAGTGATGCTCTGTGTTCTTGGAGCTTGGGGGGCAACAGTGAGCGGGCTTCTGGAGTTCTGGCCCCACTAGTGGATCTCCTGATGGCACCTGGGTTTTGGCCGCTGTGTGTCACAAAGTGTTGGACTGGATGGGCCATTGGCCTGATCCAACATGGCTTCTCTTCTATTCTTATGTCTGGGGCAGTGATGCTGTGTATTCTTGGTGCTTGGGGGGCCACAGTGGGAGGGCTTCTGGAGTTCTGGCCTCACTGGGGGACCTCCTGATGGCACCTGGTATTTTTGGCCACTGTGTGATACAGAGTGTTGGACTGGATGGGCCTTTGGCCTGATTCAACATTGGCGTCTCTTATGTTCTTATGATACAGAGTGCTGGACTAGATGGGCCACTGGCCTGATACAACATGGCTTCTCTTTTGTTTTTATATCTGGGACAGTGATGCTCTGTATTCTTGGGGGGGCAACAGTGGGAGGGCTTCTGGAGTTCTGGCCTCGCTGGTGGACCTTCTGATGGCACCCGGGTTTTGGCCGCTGTGTGACACAGAGCATTGTAGGTGGGTCACTGGGGCAGCGATGTTCTGTATTCTTGGGGCTTGGGAAGGGGCAACAGTGGGAGAGCTTCTGGAGATCTGGCCCTGCTGGTGGACCTCCTGATGGCCCCTGGGTTTTGGCCACTGTGTGACACAGAGTGTTGGACTGGATGGGCCATTGGCCTGATCCAACATGGCTTCTCCTATGTTCTTATGGTTGCATGGGTGAGACTTAGGAATCAATTCCCCCCCACCCCCAAGTTTTGGAGAGGATTGATGACTTCCGCTTTCTCCACATTTCGCTGTTGTCGCACTGCCCTAACGTCTGTTCTTCCCCTTATTTGGCAGGAGGACTACAATCAGCTGCGACCCCTCTCCTACCCCAACACGGATGTGTTTTTAATCTGTTTCTCCGTCGTGAACCCCGCCTCGTACCACAACGTCCAGGAAGAATGGGTGCCGGAACTGAAAGGGTGCATGCCTCACGTGCCTTACGTCCTGATTGGAACGCAGGTGAATGGCGGAGAAGGGAGTTCCTTTGGAGTGAATGGATGCTTTGGAGGGTGGACTCTGTGGCATGGTGCCCCACTGAGGTCCCTGCCCTGCCCAGTTTCCATCCCCAAATCTCCAGAACTTTCCCCACCTGGATCTGGCAACCCTACCCCTCCGACCTCCACTAGTGGCCAGGGAGGACAGAAGAACATAAGGGTGCGGTCACACTGACCTCTTGCCGCACTGTTGTTCCCACTGTCATTTCATCCGCAACATTTTGTATCAGGTTAAGACGGTCACACGGTCCCTCTCTCAACCGCTTTAATCATGCGAACCACTGATCAGACAGCCACACCGCCCCTTGTGGTGGTGCAGGAATTGGGGGGGGGAATTAATTGCGCATGTGCTTTTGGCCTTTACGCACGGACAAATCAATAATAATAATAATAATACCTTTCGATTCATTGATCGCTCAATCCGGCAGAGCTGCTGGCTCTGAGCAATTTACAGTTACACGGTTTCACACAAGGGACTAACAATTTCATAGGGGGGTAAGGGAGGACAAGATATAATTCTTTAAATTGCACACATTTGCAGCCGACGGGGATTTTTGTTCAGCTGTAGGCTTCAGACGTGTTCCGGAGGCATTCACTTTTCGGCTTGGCTTGATGACGTTGGTTCTTCCTGGGCTGCTTTGAGTCGTAGCGCCGCACTGCTACCGCCTGGCCAGATTGGCCCATTACAGGATTCTTAATGCCGGTCTTTTTTCCAGGCTTACGAGCTGGACATTCCATGCGCCGGTTAACACCTCCCCCACGGGGGTTTAGTGTGCCCACCCTCTCTAAGGAGTGGTACCCATTTTATCTACTCGCCAAAGCTTTCGAACCGCTGGGTGGATGGCGAGCTGGGGACAAGGCTGGTAGCTCACACCAGCACGGGGCTAGAACTGACAGCAACTCTGTTCAGTTCAGATATTAACCAGAGGATAAATCCTCTGTGCCACCGCTCCCCCAAATCACCACTTCTATTGGTTTCTGTTGTACTCCCTCCACTAGCCATAGTGCAGCAGAGAATCACTCCTTCTTTCCACCATTGCCGCGTCCATCGTGTTCTGTCCAAAACATAGCAATTTTTTTGCACATGTGCAAAACAGGAGTCGGCCCAAAAGAAGAAAGAAAGAAAGAAAGTGCGGTCATGGCGATATGCAGTCCAGATACGGAAATTGCAGAATCGCAGTGGGAAAACCCAGAAAGTACTCGTTCTGACCAGTGCCGGAAAATGCGGCAGAGAACCGCGAAAGTTGTGGGACTAAGCCCGCTTCGGCGCGGGAGGCGGATTGGCCAATATAGTCAGCAAATTTAAATGCAGGAGGGAACAGCGGCAAAACCCAGTCAAAAGGACCATGTGACCGCACCCTAAGAAGAGCCCTGCTAGATCAGACCAGTGATCCATCTAGTCCAGCAGAGCAGTTTGGGGGTACACAGGAGGCTCCTGGGGAGAAGCAAAGCAAGGAAGATCCCTGCTGCCAGCACCTTCCACGAGCTTCATAAGAGTATTGAAATGATCACACGGTCTTATGGCCAAATTCTAATATAACCCCATATGAATGAGCATGTGCTTGGCATGCAGAAGGTCTCAGGTTCAATCCCCAGTACCTCCAGTTAAAGGAACTGGCAGTATGTGATGTAAAAGGCCTCAGCCTGAGACCCCAGAGGGCTGCTGCCCGTCTGAATAGACAATACTGGGGATGGGCACAAACCAGCTGACAAACTAAAGTTCTTCATGAATTTTGACCAGTTCATTATTTGTGAAGCAATGTTCACAAACCCCTGCTTTCTGCTCTTCACGAAAAAACAGTTGAGCGGCCAGCTCAGCTGTTTGGTTTAAATGCCCCCCCACCTTCTGCTCCCCGTTGCTTTTTGTGGGGAGCAGAAAGCTTCAAATGGCTCACAAACTGGTACAACTGGTTCAGTTCACAAACCAGCATATCGTTTCACGGTTCGGTTTGTGGTTTAGCCATGAATCATGAACCAAACCACAACAATGCAGTTTGGACCTATCCCTAGACAATACTGGCCTTGAAGGGCGGAAGGTCTGATTCAATTCCCTCTGAAGTATATGAGTATTAATACATGAGTATTTATTGTTTTGTATTGTTTCGTATTGTTTTGTTTTAGATGTGACAATCGGTATTAATTGTATACTGGTTTTAACCATTGTAAGCCGCCCTGAGCCGTCTTGGTGGGAGGGTGGGGTAAAAGTCTAACAAATAAATAACTAAATAAAATATGCAGTGCTTATATACATCATTGATACATATAACACATAATCATGGCTCTTTTTGTAGAAAAAGCCCAGCAGGAACTCATTAGCATACTAGGCCACACCCAACAGCAGGAACTCATTAGCATATCAGGCCACACCCATGACAGCACAGCTCATTAGCATATTAGGCCACATCCCCGTGTTACCAGAAGTGTGGTCATCCAGCCACACCCACCTTTCGCTTCTTATTCTGTTTACCTTGTTTGTTGTCAAAACCCAGGGCCTTTTTTTGGAGCGGGAACTCCTTTGCATGTTAGGCCACACACCCCTAATGTAGCCAATCCTAATGAGTTCCTGCTGTTGGGTGTAGCCAATCCTAATGAGTTCCTGCTGTTGGGTGTATGCTAATGAGGTCCTGCTGGGTGTGGCCAACTTGGGAGCCAACCGAAACTCCGTTCCTGTGCGTTCCTGCCCCAAAATAGCCCTGCACATAATACTGGTTTAGTGATGTACAAATCATGTTGAAAAATGCATTTTATAGGAAAAAATTCAGCACAGGGAAACAGAGTGGGGCAAAAATAAGGAACCGTGGGATAATTCATGTGAGGAAGAAGTCAAATCAAAATGAGAATTTGAAGGGGTTGAAGCTGCAGGGGTGAGAAGTTTGGGATCATCCCTCAAGATGCCTGGCCAGAAAATGTAAACAAAGATTTGTGTCTCTGTCAACTTTCTAGATCGACCTTCGAGACGACCCCAAAACCTTGACCCGGCTGCTCTACATGAAGGAGAAGCCCCTGACTTATGAGCATGGCATCAAGCTGGCAAAAGAGGTACGCTGGCTTTTTTCTCAGAACGTGAGAGAATTTCATAGCCCTTCATGGTTTTGTTGTAAGTGACTCAAATGCACCAGGCATGGAAATCACAATGTGCTTGTTGCAACTCGGTGTTAGACTGGGAACAGAGTGGTTGCGCAAAGTGCTGTCAAGTTGCGTATATCACATTATGGGTGACCCCGTACGGTTTTCAAGGCAAGAAACGTTTGGAGGTGGTTGCCATTGCCTGCCTCTGCATAGCAACCCTGGGCTTCCTTGGTGGTTCCCTCGTCCAGATACCCTGCTCAGCTTCCAACGAGATCCAGCTACCCTGGGCCGTCTGGGTCAGGGTAGGGGATGAGAGGCCCACATTTAAATTCCCACTTGAGCATGAAGTTCAGTGGGTGACTTTGAGCTGGTTGCTCTTTCTCACAGTCTAACCTATCTTACAAGGTCATTGTGGTGAAATGCTCCCTCTAAGCCGTGGAGTCTCGTGAGCAAAAATTCTGCTTTATGAGCTGTTGGCATCAAAGTTGTGAGCGGGCGATTTGGCTACTGCATAAATCAGTTTGCTCTGGAGCCCTTCTTCCTGAGCGAAGGCAAAAATGTCTGAGCTGGAGGCTAAAAAACTGTGAGCTAGCTCACATTAACTCATCTTAGAGGGAACACTGCCTGTGAGGGAGGTGGGACTGAGAGAGCTTTCTCCTTGAGAGAACAGCTCTGAGAGAACTTGTGACTGACCCACGGTCACACCAGCAGGTGCATGCGGAGGAGTGGGGAATGAAACCCGGTTCTCCCAGATTAGAGTCTGTGCTCCTAACCACTACACCAAACCGACCCACTAAGAACCCAAAAAAAGAAAGAAAGAAATACTGTACACTGCTCACCCCCATTCATGCCTGCTTTTCTCCCTCTCTTTCTAGATTGGGGCCCAGTGCTACCTGGAGTGCTCGGCGTTGACACAGAAGGGACTGAAGGCCGTCTTCGACGAAGCGATCCTCACTATCTTCAACCCCAAGAAAAAGAAGCCACACTGTGCCAAATGCTGCAGCTCCTGTAAGATCCTATGATACTGCCTGGAACCCGAAGCCATGTGCTAGCATCCAACCAAAGCATTCCCAGGGGAACGAGGGATATGACCAGAAAGGGTCCACGTGGTGTGGAGACTTCTCCCAGTCTGCGACTCCTCAGTCCTGCAACCTCTTTAAGTCTTCTCACGTCTATTTGCTTTTCTAACCTCCATGGACCTGTATTGACGAGGCAGCCAAGCCCCGTGAACATGGCAGTTTTCGCTGTGCAAGCCAGTAGATGACGAAAACGCTCCTGTTTCTTTGGCCTTGATCTGTGTGAGAGATGATGTAATGGAAGGAAAACACTTCAAAGATCCTGCAACCTCACCGAGAGACATCGTAATTTGCGGCCTTCAGAAAGAAAGGACCTTACCTGCACCACCAGCAAGAATACGCAATAATGACTGAATGTGAATGCAACGAAAATATGTTTCTTTTGGAACTGACAGTCTTAAGGTCCAGAGATGACATGCAGGAAGATTGTTGGAATTCTCCATTTTCAAAAGATTTGCTTAACCTAGAATCAGAATAGCCTGTCCTGCAGTTTGTCTTCCTTTTGTATAGTCAGCAAAATCCAGCCAGAACATAAGAAGAGCCCTGCTGGATCAGACCAGTGGTCCATCTAGTCCAGCATCCTGTCTCACACAGTGGCCAACCAGTTCCTATGCCCAGTCAACAATAGAGGCTGAGGCCTTTCCCTGAAGTTGCCTTAAGAACATATGCCTTAAGAAGCCAATGTTGGATCAGGCCAATGGCCCATCTAGTCCAACACTCTGTGTCACACAGTGGCCAAAAATACCAGGTGCCATCAGGAGGTCCATCAGTGGGGCCGGGACACTAGAAGCCCTCCCACTGTTGACCCCCCTCAGCACCAAGAATACAGTGCATCACTTGCCCCAGACTGAGAGTTCCTATCTATACCTCATGGCTAACAGCCACTGATGGACCTCTGCTCCAGATGTTGAATAGTGACCTAATAGTCCTTGAAAGTATAAGTCTCTCTTTAGAATGATGCAGTCACGGGCTCATGATGCAGAGAAGAGTCCCAAATAGAAAACACAAAGAGGCCTTCTGGCTCTGGGATTCAGGGACTGACTGCCTAGGAACGGTGAGGTTCCCCTCAGTCACCATGACTAGTAGTAATCACTGGTAGTCTTATCCTCCATGAATCTGTCTAAGCCCCTTTTCAAGCTGTTTGTTCCTTTGGCCATCACTACATCCTCTGTCAGCAAACTCCTCTGGGCTCTATTGAAATACATTGCAGCACACACAAGGGGGGGGCGGGAATTGCAAAGAAAATGTGGAATGGATTTTCCATTCCCAGAGTAGTCTATCTGGGCCCAGAGACCTTAATGGAAAATCCATTCCGCTTTTTCTTTGCAATTTTTTTTGTGTGTGCTGCAATGTATTTCAATGGAGCCCATGCGATTCAATTGGCATTCTTGGCTCCCACTATCGCCAAGGGGTCTCTCCCATCTCAAGTCACCCTGTAAAAAAATCCTGAGACCCTGGACAGCCAAGACCGTGCCGTGGGGGGGGGGGGGAGAGAAGCTTGCAATGCCCAGCTGTTTCATGTTTTCCTAGGCTCAGAGCATTTTATATTTTTTAGTTTGTATTTTTAGTTTCTGCTGTGCTCCTTCTGCTTTTCCTTGATGTTTTAGTTTTAAAGTTGCATTGCCAAATCCCACTATTCCCCCACGGCTGCATTTTAGGCAGGAATCTTTTAAGTTGGGAGGGGGGGAGGCTTGGGAGGTGTCAGATATCAAAGACTGTTAAATAAAATATTGCAAGAGTGTTAGTGTTTTGAGCATGTTTGTATTTTAAGTAAAAGAATAATATCTTTTGATTGTGTTTGTCTGTGTCCTTTATGAAGTTTCTATCCCTGCTACCTGGCGTTACATTTTATGACACACGTGGCCCGGCCCGACAAAGTCCCATTTATGTCAGATCCAGCCCTCATAACAAATGAGTTCGACACCCCCGTTTAACCATATCGATACCAACTTGTTGCAGATTGGTTTGAGGGGCCTCAAGAAGTGAAGTTCATGGGCAATTGTTGCCATTTTTCTGGAAAAACGAGTGATGTGCTTTGACTGGTTGCTTCCAAATGCTGTTATTAAGAACATAAGAACCTAAGAGAAGCCAGTATTGGATCAGGTCAATGGCCCATCCAGTCCAACACTCTGTCACCCAGTGGCCAAAAATACCAGGGACCATCAGGAGGTCCAGCAGTGGGGCCAGGACACTAGAAGCCCTCCCACTGTTGTCCCCCCACAAGCACCAAGAATACAGAGTGTCCCTTGCCCGAGACCGAGAGCTCCTATCTATACCTTGTGGCTCATAGCCACTGATGGACCTCTGCTCCAGAGGTTTATCCAAACCCCCCAAAAGAAGATAAGCCAATGTTGGATCAAGCCAATGGCCCATCCAGTCCAACACTCTGTCACACAGAGGCCAAAAATACCAGGGGGCATCAGGAGGTCCAGCAGTGGGGCCAGGACCCTAGAAGCCCTCCCACTGTTGCCCCCCCCCACAAGCACCAAGAATACAGAGCGTCCCTTGTCCCAGACCGAGAGCTCCTATCTATATCTTGTGGCTCATAGCCACTGATGGACCTCTGCTCCATAGGTTTATCCAAAACCCTCATAAGAACATAAGAGAAGCGGCCAATGGCCCATCCAGTCCAACACTCTGTCACCCAGTGACCAAAAATACCAGGGGCCATCAGGAGGTCCAGCAGTGGGGCCAGGGCACGAGAAGCCAGGCCTGTAGCCAGGATTTTGTAATTCGGAGGGCTTTTATATAAGTCGGGGGGCACTGATGTCACAAAAATGGGGAAAAAATAAAAGTTTGGAATTGGAGCAAACAGGAGCAGTTGGAGCTCCAGTTGGAACACTCAGGGGTCATTTCCTGCAGGAGCACACAGGAGTGGAGCTCCGGCAGTAAGGAGCCCAGGGGGCGGGCACATGCAACAAGCCCCACCCCCTGCTCCCAGCAGCCC